TCAGCTGGGATTTATAGTCCATGCAGTATCCTTCATAAATCATGCATTCACTACATAACAACATTCACTATATATGTATATTCAGTCTATTTGATGCTATCCTAGATAGCACGAATAATTCAGCGAATAGACTGAACTACTTTTTTTGCACTCTTGACCCAAATGGCCTCGTCTTCATGTGGCTATTCCCTCATGTTTCGTGTACAATAGAGCGTTTGCACATGACGTCACAGCCGCCATGTTGGTGTTCCAATTCAAAAGAATTTTAATTAGACTCTTTTGTCTGGAACACCAACATAGCCGCCATTGCTTTTGTTGAGTTGGCCCTCATGGGGAATGAGTGCAAACCCTATACAGGGTGTCCCAACCCCCCCCCCCCCAAACCATTGAAATAACGTATTGTTAAAATTTGAATGCCCTAGCACTAAGCTGAATGCAAAGATGCGTAAAATATTGACAAGAGTGCATATGTTAAATATTGACTTATTAAGAAATTAAAATATCTTTGAAAAGCGAACGATTTTCTGCTCTAATTGGGAATTTAAAACGGCTTCTTGGACGGTTTCTTTATGCATAAAATGTACTTACGTCAAGCTTTGATGCACGTGTGAGTTCAGCAGAGTGCTGAGGCATTCAAATTCTAACAATACGTTATTTCAATAGTTTTGGGGGTTTTGGGACACCCTGTATAGGGTAAGGATAGGTTTGTGAGAGAAACATATTCGAAACATGGGGATTTAGTATTTTTGCACAAGTGAATATAACAATTCCTACAAGCTGATTGGTCAAATTTTTGACGTATTAAGCTGTTATACTCACCTACAGGTGAATATAACAAAACTGAAATTTGCAAAATGGCGGCTAGCCGTTTTGTAGAAGTAAAGGCCATGTTACATGGTGCAATTTTTCTTGCAACTTGCAATGCAATTCTACTTTTGAGAGATGTAAAATTACCAAATACGAGTCTTCATTACAATCCGCTGATGTTTTCTCAACATATTGAAAATTCTTCACAGATTTCGCTAATTAATATCCCTCAAGAGTAGAATTGCATTGTAAGTTGCAAGAAAAATTGCACCGTGTAACATGGCCTTTACTGATAAAGAAATAAGGTAAATTAAAATAAATCCAGTCCCAAAAACACAAAAGACTTGTGTAAAAATACTAAAATTATTATTCGCCTCAGGCTCGATGATTATCGGGGAATATTTACCTCGACTTCGTCTAGATGAATATTCCCCGATAATCACCTCGCCTTCGGCGAATAATTGTTAAACAACCTTCGAGACCAGGCCATTGGGGGAAAAGTGCAACGAACAGTAAAGTCCGTTATATTTATAGAAAATAATGAATTCTAATCACACGTGTGAATATAGTCTAAATTAAATGAAATTGAATTTGACAAGCCAATTAATACTGGTGCACAACTCTATCGCCACAGAAAGGATATCCCCATTCTGGGCGATAGGAGGTGCTGTAATAATATACTGAACTTTACTGAACTGAAAATAATGAATTAGTCAAATTATTTAATTGAAGAATAAATTACATATTAGTATGCAAAATAACTGAAGATTGTTAATTATATTGCTAATGTTTCTGACAGTATTTGTATACTCGTTCTTTTACTGTTGGTGACCAGCACAAAGTTTCGGCAATAGACCAAATTAACTAACCGCATTTCTATGCCTGTTGCCACGCAATTCACATTTTCAGATAATGAGCAATGGGCGGGATAACTCGCATGCCTAGTTACCACTGTTCTGATAATGTAAGCATAGAATGAAACAAAGGTAGCCAGGTATTTAAATTATATATGCGAGTGAATTAGGTGGGGTAACTCACATGTCTAGTTACCACTGTTCTGATAATGTAAGCATAGAATGAAACAAAGGTAGCCAGGTATTTAAATTATATATGTGAGTGAATTAGGTGGGATAACTCGCATGCCTAGTTACCACTGTTCTGATAATGTAAGCATAGAATGAAACAAAGGTAGCCAGGTATTTAAATTATATATATATGAGTGAATTAGGTGGGATAACTCGCATGCCTAGTTACCACTGTTCTGATAATGTAAGCATAGAATGAAACAAAAGTAGCCAGGTATTTAAATCATATATATGCGAGTGAATTAGGTGGGGTAACTCACATGCCTAGTTACCACTGTTCTGATAATGTAAGCATAGAATCAAACAAAGGTAGCCAGGTATTTAAATTATACATGCGAGTGAATTAGGTGGGGTAACTCACATGCCTAGTTACCACTGTTCTGATAATGTAAGCATAGAATCAAACAAAGGTAGCCAGGTATTTAAATTATATATGTGAGTGAATTGGGTTGGGTAACTCACATGCATAGTTACCACTGTTCTGAGAATGTTATTATGTTAGCATAGAATGGAACAAAGGTAACCAAGCATTGTGAGTGAATTGGGTGGCAATAGATTTGACACACTTCAGTTGATAAGGTCTATGTATAGATTATTTTGAGGCAACGAGGGGATATGTGATTTATTCACCGAGGCGCGCAGCGCCGAGGTGAATAAACACATATCCCCGAGGTGCCTCAAAATAACGTACTTATTTTTCACATTGCGAGGTCGCGTTAATGAGTCAGAATAGAAATAATTCTTAATGCCATATTGCTTTCGTTATATTGTTTTCTCTCATTTTTTGTGCTGCAAAGAGTGGATTATTAAACGGAAATTGATTAGAGGGGAATATTGAATATATTCCCCGATAAGAACAAAGGAAACCGAGCAAGGTGAAAAATAAGTTATATAATGTACAGGTAGTTTCCCAGAACACATTGTCCCCTACGAGAAATTGTCTGGACGAAATAGCAATGTAGATATATTTATATACAGCTATTCATATCATATAGATAATAGATGCATGCGAACAGCACTGTAGGTTAGAGACAGTTCGACTGATCATGTATTAGGGCCTGTTCATATGAGCCGGGAAATGTTAACCTGTATATAAGGTTCAATTAGTGATCCTAAACCGACACTATTAAAGTCGAACTGAAACGTGCACTTTGTTGAATTAAAACGAGGATGAGAGTTGATGAGAATTTGCAGTCACGCTGGGGCTTTGCGGGTGTCACCCGCCCTGAAAACATCATGTTTGCATAATGTCGTCCCACTGGGGGGGGGGAGGGAGGGAAGGGGATATTAGGTGGGGGAAAAGTCACGTAAACACAGAAATACTTTATTCTACTCAAGTGAAGTGAGTTTCCTGGCAAACCGGGCTCATATGAACAGGCTTTTTGTTTGGAATACGCTGCTTCTCCTGTTTTCTCTCAGCTGATGGAGTACTAGCTTCTGTGTGTGACTTTCACCCGCGATGTACTACTCTCCCATCTCTCTTATTCACTTACAGAACCAAGATTAACAACCCACCAGCCGAACACCTGTCTCGCAAAATAATTTAGCTTAGCTTTATATCGTTACTTTCTTTTGTCCAAATTTTTACGCTTAGTTTTCCATGTTATTCTCGTTTGTTCTCGATCGAGTCATTCTCTTCTATACGTCGGACTGCCTCGTATGGAACCGATCAATTTCTTCAAACGGATCCTTCAAATTGCATGGACAGTCGCTCGGGAATCCGTCGGTAGATGTGCTTAGTGTGCCGAGTGGTAACCGACCGTTACGTGACAACTCTTCACTGTTGTATTCTACTGAATAGAAAAGAACAAGACGCCCGCTCGGCGTTAACCTCGGGTCGGTGGATAGGGCATCGTCTGGTAAATATGCAAAAATCGTGTAAATCACGATAGTTTAATAGTTCACTATATAGTAATTAGTATAAATGGTGAATCAGTCAATCAAAGCTCCATTTTAACATTTTATTGATAATAGTTAAATACAGGAACAATTTAGAAAATTTACTGACGCAATTATTTAACTGTATTTATTCATTATTTGGGATATTTTGTGGACGAGTGAATGATATACATAGCTACTTCACTACTTCATCTTGTATTTAGTAACACTAACAGACAATATTATCAGTCTATTTGTTGATTGCACATCGCAGAACGACACTCACTTCAGATATTTTTCAAATATATCAAAGTACCGAAAATATAATTAGGTGCATATATAACTAATCCATCATTAGTAATAGTTGTACCACAGTCGATCAAAGAATTTAATGAGTGGACAGTTGGCAAAATTGTTGTCTACCAGTTACAGTAAAAACCATTCATAAACTGCTTAGCAGTATCAAACAAGTGAAAGTTTGCCGCGGTATTCCCATGCTATGCATACGAAGTATTGTACATTATATCAACATATACTCGAGAATAGTTATCCAGTTAAACATGTATGTCAAAATTATCACATCTTCTGGTTTTAAGGTGGCTCCCTAGGGTTTATTTCCGGGGGTTACGTTCTTCGTATATTATATGGAACTCTTTTTTGAAACAAATGTGTGAACTTTGCTTCAGTTGAAAGCATAAAAGAGTTGTAAAAGCCAAAACGATACTTGGATGTGATGTTTCAAAAAAAGATAATGTAAACTTGTTTTTTTTCAAGCGGTATTCTGGATGTTTTTTGAACCGCCGTACGCGAGGTTCGATCGCGAACATTGGGATATGATATAAAGTTTCCTCAAGAATTTGCAGTGTTTTCTCCACAATCTAGCAGCACTTATGACGATAAAGATGACTTAAATAATGAGCCCTCTACGGGTGAAATGAGCAGGGCCGAAACTCCAAACATACCGCTATAAAAACTGAAATTTTCAAATTTTTTTTCAAATTAATACCAAGAAGTCATAACCAGTAATTACCTAAATATCTTTGCCATTTTTACATGTATAATCCACGCTTCGTTGACCATTAACCGACACAGTTATAAACAGTATATCAAACATAATTTATATTTTGTGATTTCAAAAAAGTCATGCCTTGTTGTTTTATGCAGAATGCATGTACACGTCAGTTGGGGTATTAAATTGTTCGCGTAAAAATCTAGTAAAAATTGCCAAAATTAAACCCAAATTTCTCTGTTTTCCTTCGGTAAAATTTTTTAAAACTTTCCACATTTTTTAATATCGGCACAATAAGTGCAATATCCTTTTTTCTTAAAATTAAATCGAAGGGAAAATTTTTAATATTGATTTTTGACGTTTTTTAAATTTTCTAAGAAACGTATCGATTTAATTTTTTTAAATTGAGGGGAAAAAATCATTATACAAGTATTATCTTTTATGCAAAGTTTTAAAAATATTCACCGAAGGAAATTTTTAAAATGACCTGAAAAATACAAATTTTGAGCTTTATTCTAAGCATGCTGTTGCCATGACAACATATTTTTAACACAAAAGTAGCAATTTGCAATGTTCAGGAGAACATTGTCAATGTGTCCAATAAATTTCGTTTTTATGTCATATAAAGTAAAGAAACAGGAGTCTCCTGAATACTATAGTGTAGTAAATTAAAAAATCCTAGGGAGCCACCTTAAATCAACAATTTAAAAAAAAAAGGAGCCGAATTTATGACCTCGGTGTCGTACCGACCCGAGGTAATAAGAGGTAAATAAAGGCTAAACTATTCAATTTTACAAAGATTTCGATATCCTAACTCATCCTGTCACTGGTCAATAAGTGATTATTATTATTGGACCCGTAGGGAGAACACTTAAGAACTGATAGATTGAGCTATGCAGTATAAATAAAGTAAGTTAGTTTAGTTCAGGTTTCCTCCTGTGGTAACAGTGGAATAAGAGATTACCCTTACTGGACCTCTAGGGAGAACAGTTCAGAACTGATAGAGCTATCCAGTATAAATAAAAGTTAGTTTAGGTTAGGTTTCTTCCTGTATAGTAATACTGGATCAATAAGAGATGATCCTTACTGGACCTCAAGGGAGAACAGTTTAGAACTGATATAGCTATCCAGTATAAATAGAGTTAGTTTACTTTAGGTTTCTTCCTGTAGTAACACTGGATCAACAAGGGATGATCCTTACTGGACCACTAGGGAGAACAGTTTAGAACTGATAGAGCTATCCAGTATAAATAGAGTTAGTTTAGTTTTAGGTTTCCTTCTGCATTAACACTGGCATTGATCAATAAGAGATACCTCTTACTGTCATTGGACCGAGGAAGAACAGTTTAGAACTGATAGAGCTATCCAGTATAAATAAAGATAGTTTACTAGCTTTCAGAGAGAACTGCTAGAGCTATCTATATAGTATGAGTAGTTAGTTTGGTAACCACATGTACTAGTGTCAAAGTCTTTCAGATATACTTACCATTGCTCTCTTCTTTCATTACAGTCAAACTACGTTGTTTGTGTAACTCCCAGACACAACCAGCGACACAGCATGTGACAAACAAGGCTATCATACTGTACACAGATATGCTGAATATTCCTCCGCTACCGAAGTAGTCTTCTGCTGCGTTTAGCTTGCTCTAAAGAAGCCAAAAATGTTGGTACTAATTTGATTTATGAAGATCAGGGCCTCCACCTCGGAAAGATATCAGGAAAGTGGTGGTCCAGTGCAGGTAGTATTCTACAATAAGCTGTCGGGGTTTGTGTCTAAACCACCTGAAAAAGATATCTCAAACGTGGTGGTCCAGTGTAGGTAGTATTCTACAATAAGCTGTCGTGGTTTGTGTCTAAACCACCTGAAAAAGATATCTCAAACGTGGTGGTCCAGTGTAGGTAGTATTCTACAATAAGCTGTCGGGGTTTGTGTCTGAACTACCTGAAAAAGATTTCTCAAACGTGGTGGTCCAGTGTAGGTAGTATTCTACAATAAGCTGTCGTGGTTTGTGGGCTGAACTACCCGAAAAAGATATCTCAAACGTGGTGGTCCAGTGTAGGTAGTATTCTACAATAAGCTGTCGTGGTTTGTGGGCTGAACTACCCGAAAAAGATATCTCAAACGTGGTGGTCCAGTGTAGGTAGTATTCTACAATAAGCTGTCGTGGTTTGTGTCTGAACTACCCGAAAAAGATATCTCAAACGTGGTGGTCCAGTGTAGATAGTATTCTACAATAAGCTGCCGTGGTTTGTGTCTGAACTACCTGAAAAAGATATTTCAAACGTGGTGGTCCAGTGTAGGTGGTATTCTACAATAAGCTGTCGTGGTTTGTGTCTGAACTACCTGAAAAAGATATCTCAAACGTGGTGGTCCAGTGTAGGTAATATTCTACAATAAGCTGCCGTGGTTTGTGTCTGAACTACCTGAAAAAGATATTTCAAACGTGGTGGTCCAGTGTAGATAGTATTCTACAATAAGCTGCCGTGGTTTGTGTCTGAACTACCTGAAAAAGATATTTCAAACGTGGTGGTCCAGTGTAGATAGTATTCTACAATAAGCTGCCGTGGTTTGTGTCTGAACTACCTGAAAAAGATATTTCAAACGTGGTGGTCCAGTGTAGGTAGTATTCTACAATAAGCTGTCGTGGTTTGTGTCTGAACTACCTGAAAAGATATCTCAAACGTGGTGGTCCAGTGTAGGTAGTATTCTACAATAAGCTGCCGTGGTTTGTGTCTGAACTACCTGAAAAAGATATCTCAAACGTGGTGGTCCAGTGTAAGTATAGTATTCTACAATAATCTGTCGTGGTTTGTGTCTGAACTGCCTGAAAAAGATATCTCAAACGTGATGGTCCAGTGTAAGTATAGTATTCCACAATAATCTGTCGTGGTTTGTGTCTGAACTACCTGAAAAAGATATCTCAAACGTGGTGGTCCAGTGTAGGTAGTATTCTACAATAAGCTGTCGTGGTTTGTGTCTGAAACTCGCCAATATCTGATAGGCTGGACAAAAAGTAATACACAGTTTACAATGGAATTTAGTCCTACCTTCTGAGTTCCACTATACTCTGACATTTTGCTGAAAATAGAATGTTCATATTTCTCTATGTATTCTTGGAAACATGCCGTAAGATTGTCAGCCTTCTCTCTCAACACGATCCCATAGAAAGTCTCTTTGAGCAAAATTCCTGAAACTCTGATATTGTATTCTTTTTGTAGTTTGTGAACGACGTCTTTCAGACTGTTTATATCTACCAAGGCTGCGTCTACTTCGTAGTCGATCAATGGAGGGTATAAGGCTTCTTGCTTCTTCATAACTGCACAAGGTAAAAGCCAGTTTATATATATATTATATATAGGTATAGGTCTATCTGTTCTAAACTGTTCTTTCCAGATTTCAGAGGTCCAGTAAAAGTCATCTCTTATTGATCCAGTGTCACTACGGGAGGAAAGCTACACTAAACTAACTTTATACTGGATAGATCTATCAGTTCTAAACTGTTCTCCCTAGAGGTCCTGTAAGGATCATCTCTTATTGATCCAGTGTCACTACGGGAGGAAAGCTACACTAAACTAACTTTATACTGAATAGATCTATATCAGTTCTAAACTGTTCTCCCTAGAGGTCCAGTGAGAATCATCTCTTATTTACCCAGTGTTACTACAGGAGGGAACCTGAACTGAACTAACTTTATTTATACTGGATAGCTCTATCAGTTCCACAATGTTCGCCCTAGAGGTCCAGTAAGGATCATCTCTTATTGATGTAGTGCATAGATATCTTATATACACTAGATAGCGCATCTCTTTTAGTAAAATTGAAGCGAAGAATATTCCAGCGGTTACCCCCATTTGAATAGATGGCGGCCATGTTGGTCGTTCCCACTTGCTAATAAACGCTTAAAAACACTCGACAACAACTTTCATCATTTGAATAGTTTAAAAACGTATTTGGAATAGGGTTAACTTAATGTTTAAGTTCCCTGTTTAAGAAATAGAAAACATACGTATCTCCTCATTTCATGGGAACAACCTGAGACTGCAATCACAGCTTCAATTTTTGAATTGCAGAATAATTAGATGCACTATCTAGTGTATATAAGATATCTATGATGCAGTGTCACTACAGGAGGAAACCTAAACTAAACTAACTTTATTTATACTGGGTAGCTTTATCAGTTCTAAACTGTTCTCCCTAGAGGTCCAGTAAGGATCATCTCTTATTGATTCAGTACGTGTTACTACAGGAGGAAACCTAAACTAAACTAACTTTATTTATACTGGATAGCTCTATCAGTTCTAAACTGTTCTCCCTAGAGGTCCAGTAAGGATTATCTCTTATTGATGCAATGTTACGACAGGAAGAAACCTAAATTAGACTAACTTTATTTATACTGGATAGCTCTATCAGTTCTAAGCTATTCTCTTTTGAGGTCGAGTAACAGCCATCCCTTGTCGGTTCAGTGTTACCACGGGAGGCAATCTGGAGTAAAGTAATTTATACCATTCTATAATTCAATGAGTTCTGGTTAGAGATCCAGAAAAATCGTGTCACCTTTGATCGTAGCGTGATGTTCGATTCCCAACCAATGTGCGACACTGCCATTAAGTACCGTGATCTGAGGACAAAGAGTAGAAAAATTATAAAGTTGTTTAACAGTTTCCAGCCTTTCTCTAGCGTTAAAAAAAACAACAAAGAAGCAACGCTTTTGGGGCGGTTTGCATGTTCGTTTGTAAACCTAACACAGCGTGCAAGAAAATTGAACTACATTTCGTAATTCTGTGTGAATACATTCAATACCAGACCATTTAAAACTTACCCTTTCATGTTGGATATCAAATGTTCCGTCCATAAGTAAAGTCATCAGTGTCGTAGTCAATATTCCGAGAAACATTGTTACAAATAGCATTCCAATAACTATCCAGCATGATCCTAGAAGTTTTCCAAGTATCGATTTTGGAAATTTATCTCCATATCTATAGAACGGAAAAATGAAAGTACAATGTTTATAGTTTAGTTTAGGATTCCTCCTGCCAACAGCAGACCAATATAGGATGACTCTTACTGGACTTCTGGGAAGAACAGTTTAGAACTGATAGGGTTATCTATTATAAATAAAGTTAGTTTAGTTTATTAGGTTTCCTCCTCTAGTAACACTGGATCAATAAGAGATGATACTTACTGGAGCTTTATAGGGAGAACCGTTTAGAACTGATAGAGCTATTCGGTATAAATAAATTTAGTTTATAGGTTTCCTCCTGTAGTAATACTGAATCAATAAGAGATGACTCTTACTGGACCTCTGGGAAGAACTGTTTAGAACTGATGGAATTATCCAGCGTAAAGTTTGTTTAGTTTAGGTTTACTGTACGTTCGCATATAGCAACATTGGAATAATAAAGTATGGCCCTTACTGGACCTCTAGGATTAAAGTATAAGTTAGTTTAGTTTAGGGTTTCCTCCTGTATTATAGTAACACTGGAACAATAAATCTCGACCCTTACTGGACCTCTAAGGAGAACAGTTTAGAACTGATAGAGCTATCCAACATAAGTAAAGTTAGTTTAATTTAGGTTTCCTCCTGTAGTATAACACTGACTGGATCAATAAGAGATGACTCTTACTGGACCTCTATGGAGAACAGTTTATAGAGCTGATAGAACTATCCAGAATACAATAAAGGTAAAGTTAATTTGGTATATTACACAACTAATATATGTCAAATGACTCACCCTACAGATGTCATGCTCACGAACGCCCACCAGAATCCATCAAATGCACCATGTGGGAATGATGGCGAGAACTGTTTTGAGTTGGATTGCCTTTCCTAAAGATATTATATGATTGCCGTCAAACATTGCCGAGTTGAAATATATGTCCACTCAATACCCAGATGGTGAGGAGTTTAAGTCAGTGAGTTTTACAGTAAAAACCGTAGAAGTATTTCTTACGCTTGTCAAGTTTTCCTTGGCTGCCCTACACACGAACAAGTTTTCCTTGTCCAGAAGCTTTCATGTCTAGCTTTGGAACAAGACTGCTTGGTTTATGGTAAAAATTGTCATTTTTACCATACACACGAGCAAATAAAACTTGTCAAGGAAATTTTAAACCTTCCTCGTTTATAAGACCTACCGGGTGTCCCCCCAAAAAACTGGACACTGTATGTTTGATTTCATGTAATGTAAATTTTAAAGCTATCGCAATGAAATAAAGCTCATTGCATTCAGAAAGGACTAACTTAGATTTTGATATATAACACTTGAATTTACATGCAATATTGAGCGAGATACAACCATGGATTGTAAAATAACTGGATAGGAAACTAGCTGACGTCACAGTCTAAACCTAGTTGCAATCTGTGACGTCACATGTATTGCCAAAGTTCTCAGCATTTTTGTTGTTTCGCTATATTTTCCGCTTTGAAAGAGTAATATTGAAGCATAAACTGGTCTAATTGTTTTAAAAACATGCCTAAGCCACGACAAAGTATTCAAGGTAAATGTTTTTCGTCTTTGTTTTGTATTTTTTAACATTTGTAGCTACGAAATTGGCGTCGCCAATTTTTACGAAATTTGCGATGCATTTTTCACTGTTTAGTGCTTGAAATATTTGCTAAAATTGACTGGAAATACTTGGAGATTTCATCGTAGAATGGCTTAGTTATATTTATTTGCTCTTTGACTAGAATGTTTAGCTGTATTATCGCTAAACATGCCGTTTTTGAGAATTTGGTTTGCAACTAGGTTTCAACGCCATCATCCCATTGAAAACATTAGGTCACGTCAGCTAGTTTCCTATCCATGTATTTTATTATCCATGATACAACCAAAATAACAATATTTATTATTTAAAAAGTATAACTACATCGGTAATTATAAGGTTGTTTTATGCTAATTTTTGGCATTTTCAAAAACAGTAATTCAATGTTCAAACGTCAATAGCGCAGTCAATATTGCATGTAAATTCAAGTGTTATATATCAAAATCTAAGTTAGTCCTTTCTGAATGCAATGTTCTTTATTTCATTGCGCCTAGCTTTTATAACTTTTACGTTACATGAAATCAAACAGTGTCCAGTTTTTTTTGGGGGACACCCGCTAGTATGTTGACATACCACAAACCACATAATTATTCCAGCAACACACGCAGTTAAGATAATGAATAACAAGACAGGCCAAGCTTGGAGCAGCGACGACATGAGTTTTCCACTGGAGACATTGCTGTGTTTCAAAACAGCTATGCCAAGCGACTCCGCGATCGCGATAAATGGCAAAGTCTCAAATAAGGTCTTGCCGTACTTCTCTATGTGGACCGGCAATGCAATGTCGAACTTCTTCGGCTGTGATCTAGAGAAAGTGATTTTTTTTATTTATTTAATGAATTTATTGAGCAATCTACATATATCGGGGTTCGTACGCCCCCTGGAAATCCTGAAAAACCCTGGATTTTTATTTTAGTCCTGAAAAACCCTTGAAAACCCTGGAATTTCAAATTTATCCCTGGAAAACTGAGAAACTGAGCTAGGTATAGGATTATACCTAAACTATTTCACACTATCTTAAAAAGAACGATTGAACAAAAGGTTCTTGCATTATATATAGTCAAACTATGAATATATTTCGTTCAAACTGGTACAAACCCAAAAGTATCTGTGCAAGATGAAGTACTAGCCGTCGCGAACGTTTCTTATCCGTTAAACACTTATAGATTTATATTTGAAATGCCCCTGGAAAACCCCTGGAAAAAGGATGAAAAAAAGTCCTGGAAAACCCTGGATTTTTCAAATTATGAAGGTGTACGAACCCTGATATATATACTATATTAGGTTAAGGTACAAAGATAAATACTTGACAAACGAAAGACAAAACACACGTCACGTTTGTATGATTGCCATTGGCTTCATTAATTTATATATACTAACCTGTTAAATCTCATTTCTTGAACTGCTGTGTAGAAATCCGCTGGTCCCTTTGTTTGCTGGTACACCAGTTCGACGTTGCCATGACAACACTGTTTGACAATACTTTTCAGAATGTTTGGAAAGACCCCAGAGACGTTTCCACGTGTTTCATTCATGATATACGGGCAGTGATGCCAGTACATTATGGTAAGTTGACCCCCATGCTTGCAGGTTTCGTTCAGGCTTTCCCCGCCCGCGTGCAGGCATGTTAACAATAGGATAAATATATGAGATATTTTGAGGTCGGGCTGTTTTGGTGACATTATTCACTGCAAGGGATTCCCATACTTCGGTGTGATGTAATTTTGTTAGCAGAAGCTGTTTAGGACGGCTGGCATCTTTATAATCTGAAAAATAGTTTTAGACAATTATAAGGAGGTGCAGATTGGGTGCGCTCAGATCTGGAAATTCCACGTGCATGTACAACAAAGCAAAATAGTTCAATCTGGTCACAATCCAGTGATCAGAATGCTCCTTTGTCTTTTCAATGTTTTGAAAACCCACTGTTCTCTATGCCATCCAGTCACGATCCAGTCATCAGAATGTTCCATTGTCTTTTCATTTTTTTGAAAATCCCACTGTTCTCTATGCCATCCAGTCATGATCCAGTGATCAGAATGTTCCATTGTCGTCATTGTTTTGAAAATCCCACTGTTCTCCATGCCATCCAGTCGTGATCCAGTGATCAGAATGTTCCGTTGCTTTTTTATTGTTTTGAAAATTCCAACTGTTCTCCATGCCATCCAGTCATGATCACAGTGGGGTAAAAATCTTGAAAAGCAGATGCCCTCGACAGGGGATTTTGTTTTTAAATGTGATATATAGCCCTATATTGGAATTCAACTAGTATCGATAATTTTAATGTTTAATTACCTTTGTTCTGTTTTATGCTTCTGTATAAACTGCAACAGCAATAGCCAGGCATATATGAGCTATCTCAAATTTTGAATTGGGTAGCAATAGCATCGACTGAAAACAGGGGTGAGCCGACTATTTCTATTAAATTTTAAAACGTACAAATAATTCTAAAACGCTCGTGAGTTACCTGTTTTCTATTTTAATCTTCCGTGAATTACATGTGTAATGTACACTGTCCAAAACCTGTGAATTTTGTATAACAGCGATAAAAATGTAGACAAATGTACATTTAAGCCTTTTTATATGGTTTCATTTTGTATACGCATATTTAATTAACTATACCAGAAAAGGCTGTTGTTTCAGGGCATTTTTTAACTATATAACTGGGGGGGCCAAAGCCCCCCCAGCCCCCATGGTGGCTCCCCCACTCAACCATTTTGGCCCCCCCCAGTCAAAGTCCCTTTTCTCTAAAATATAAGCAAAACATTGAATTTAGAAGGGAGGTTTGATATTCTAGTAACTGAAATTTGCTTTGTGAATCTTATGTCCTGTCTTTTATGTTTAATAAATACCTTATTAGATTTTAAACATTTCCCAGGCAGTGGATTGCATTTCCCAGACCCTATAGAGTTTGAGTTGTTGGACAAGTTAGTGACCGCAGGGGGCAACAGGCCCTCAACCATGTGTTTTATAAGGGGGGGATAATTTTGGCCCCCACCAAAAAAAAACAATTTGATTTCGATACTAGAAGTATTTGAAATCATATATACATATAATCAAATATCTGTAATCGATATTTTGATAACATTTCTCGTAATAATCCATCCTGACTCGCGGATATCGATCATAGACTCACAAATCATAATGAACGAATTAATGAAAGGGCCAAACAAAAGACGTATAGAAGACTTTGAAAATGCCATTTCCAATGATTTAGAGACGCAAAATTTTCAAAATTTTTCCACTCTGTGCCAACCATGGTGGCGCTTCGTGGGAGTCGGGAACTCTAAGTTTATCAAGCTGGCTCCCTAAGTGACGGCCAAGTTGTGGTATCTACATAAACATACTATGCAAATACTTAACTGAAGGTTCAGTCTATCTACAGCATAATGTAATGCTGTATATCCAAAAATCTGTTTCAGAAAATGCAGGAATTGCAGTCATAGGGGTAGAAAAATACAAATATTTTCTGGGAGAGAATACCCCCAGACCCTCTCCAGGGCCGTAGCAACCGCGGGGGGGGGGGAGGGCTGGGGGGCTGCAGCCCCCAATAATTTGCTAATAATCATTCATTTTTCAAAATCATGCAGACCTTTATTATTTAATCCATGACAAACTTCAAAGAATGAAGATATTACCCATACTTTCCTGCAACTTATCCAATATATCGTTAATTAAATACACCTTCGTCCATTTAGTACTACTGAATTTCCACATAGGCTAAAAACGCTGTTTTCTGACAATCAGAAATCTGTCAAATCTTCTCCAAAGTCCAGGAAATGGCATTTCAGAGACTCTAAATTTAAAAATTTCCTCGGGCCTTCGGCCCTCGCTTTCAGCCCCCCCCAAACGAAAAGAGCTTCCTACGGCCCTACTCCCCCCTACTATTAAATGCGATACCACACCAAACTTTTTGTTACCAACAAACCATCTATCATTGCTCCACACTTGGTATAGTATGGTCCCTTTTTGTAGATGGCCCCCCCACTGACGAATTCTTAAAAAAAAATGCCCTGAATAATTATACATGCCCACTTTGATTATCTACAAAGCCCAGCATTCAGATACAGCTCTCGTATTAGATGAAACCAGAAAACCTTTCCAATGCATGTAATGCCCTATTGGCTGATCTGGGAAAGCATTTCCAAAACCTGAATTGCTGAAAGATTCAATTTTCTTTCTTTTTTTTTCAATATCGTTGCAACTATGCTAGACTTGCCCAAGTCGCTCGCTAGGGACCGTGCGTAGCAAGAAGGGAGCGCTTGAGAAAGACGGAAGCGAGCGACTTGTGTCACTTGCCTGATTCTGAATCTTACTGAAAAATTTGGCGCGAAAATCAATTATGAGATAGTGGGCGTTCACCATGTCAATTTCACTATAGTTACTCGCTGGGATATGAGGCGCCATTTATGACAAAATATCATAGATAAATATACGTATCAAGAATATATATGTGTATCAAAAATATATAATATGTATGTGCAAAGGGAAATATTTGTATCAGCAATACTACAAAAATGTAATAGAAATCTATAACATATGAATACGTCAGTATTTTTGCCGTATAAATATGTCATCAATTTCCATAACGTATAAATACGTCAGTGTTCTTTGCCGTATAAATATGTCATCAATTTCCATATCGTATAAATACGTCAGTGTTCTTTGCCGTATAAATATGTCATAAATTTCCATAACGTATAAATACGTCAGTGTTCTTTGCCGTATAAATATGTCATAAATTTCCATAACGTATAAATACGTCAGTGTTCTTTGCCGTATAAATATGTCATAAATTTCCATAACGTATAAATACGTCAGTTTTCTTTGCCATATAAATATGTCATAAATTTCCATAACATATAAATACGTCAGTGTTCTTAGCCGTATAAATATGTCATCAATTTCCATAACGTATAAATACGTCAGTGTTCTTTGCCGTATAAATATGTCATCAATTTCCATAACGTATAAATATATAATTTCCATATATAATTTTCATATTAATTTATAATATCCATATAATTTCCAATTTCATGAAATTTGTGGATGTACTTCATGTAATTTTGGCATCACAAAAACAATGATTATGTCATCTGATTCCTGTTCCCGCCAAAATTGCCATGTGGAAGATGTCGGTAGTCAATTTATCTCGGGCGTTCTGTGACCCCCGTCCGCGATCATATCAGATCATGTCAGCGGCTCAGCATTTAGCATTAATTAATACAATTCGAATTCGTACGCGAATTATTATTTAATTGAATATAATACACTTAAAAAATAAACGTGACCCTAACTCTAACCTTAGTCTAACCGAAAGGTGTTGTTTAAAGGCAATCTTGGGAAAAATCATACACTATACAGAAGTCCATATCCATGTTTTTTTTTGCGTAAGCGCTATTCGTAATGATTCGTCACTCGATCAGCAAGTACCATAATAGGAGCAGTCACCCCCCCCTGGACGTGTTCCATTTTGAATATTTCCAGGGGGGTTACTGCTTCTGTTTACGGTACTTGCTAGTAACGAATGCAGCTTACGCAAAAAACAATGGAGATGACTTCTGTTTAATAGTATTCTGTGTCAAAGACGACGTGAAAATGGCGTGAAAATGGCGTGGAATATACATACATGGGCACAACACGCCATTTTTACGTCGTCTTTGACGTCCGCGTTCTCGATCTAAATCTGTCTAATGTATGTGTTTCAACTAACTGAAAAGCGAAAACAGAACTTAGACGTTGTGCGTTGCATTTTACAGGTAGTATATCCCTCTCGCAGACAACGGCAAAATGTTATTGATTTCAGTATTTTATATAATTTTAAAAACGAATGCAATGGGTAAATAGTTTATATTCACTCTCCTCCGCAGAGCCTTACGAATTTTTAGTAAAATTACGTAATATTACTTGGGAAACAAATTACGTAATTGTTAGTTATTTTGTCAACCATCGATCTCACCCCCCGTCGCGCACCACTAAATGTCCTCTACTATCCCTACATTATCCCTACAAATCCTATATAATTCAGACTCTGCGGAGGAGAGTGGTTTATATTAGTTAAGCTAAAATACTTGTCGATGTGGCCATGGCCACGTCTCATGACAACGACGAATGCAGTTTTCCACGGATTTCCGCATGCATGTTTTGCCAAAAGAAACGTTAGCTGGATCAGGATGTGAATATTTAGTCTTTTAATAAGCTGGTTTTCCTCTAGCAAATTTTTTTGCGCGAAGCGACCTTTTTCCTTTGTCGGTATCACTTATTACGTCAGCAAGACATGGCAAAATGGATGCCGACACTGAAAAAGGTTGCTTCGCGCGAAAAAAATCGATGATGGAAAACCGGCTTTAGTGACATACTCAAATTAAAAGCAACCCATGAAAATTTACACCTTACCGTACCGGAGTAATCACTGAATACATACGCCATCAAAACACTCCAATAAAAGAACGGAAAAAACGTCAGAACACACGCCATCAAATACTCGCGTACGGTAAAGTGTAAAGTACCCGCAACCCACATAGAAAGAACAACCTATCGTAGTAATCGTAGTGATCATGATGGCAAAGTGTTATTAAACTATGATCAGGTCGTCATGCTGCTAA